GCCATTACTTTTTGAAAAATATATAAATAGAAACAATTTTTTTATATATAGATATATTAGGTATTTACCTATCATTTGGTATATTTTTTTTTGTAAATCTGACCTTTCACATGCCCAAATGTGAGATTTAAAATGGTAACTTTTCCAGAAAAAATTAACTTTTTCAAATTAACTTTTGAAAATTTTCCGGAAACACTGACTTTTTTGTATATATCATAAATTAAAGCTTATGTAATATACTTAAATATAAAAAAAATTGTTGAACTTAAGTTTGTCTTCATGGTGAAAATGGCTACCATGTTTAAAAATATGCTATTTTTGTGTTAAAATTCTGGCTTTTATATTTTATTTTATTTTAAAATATCTTATAAGGAGAGTTAACTGATTTTCATAAATATTATATATAAATCAAATTGACATAGCATATAAAGTTAAACTTATTTAAATTTTTTTGCTTCTTTTAAGTTGAGAAAAAAAAAGTTTGAAATATGAACTAGCATAAATTGCCATTTTTATTGACTGTTGAATGCGTCGTACAGTTGTCGTGTCGGCAACACTCGTGTCTCTCATGCTTTGAGTACAATATTCAAACGCGCCTGTAGCAATGAACTTTTTGCATTTTTTTCTTAATTCTTTTTGAGTTAGAAAAAAAAACTCATTTGATTTTTATCTCATTTAGATTTAATAAATTTAATGATTATCGAGGACCCCATTACTGTAGTTTCAACTCTGGAGAAGAAATTTCTTATATATATTAAAATTATTTTATAAGTGTTTTTTTTTTTGTAACTGTCATTCATTTTATTAAGCTCTCATTTGACCAATATTTTCAACAATACGTCAAATGATTTCAAATAGTATCAAGTTAAAAATATTATCCTCAAAAATTGAAAAAATTACCATTTATCAAATAAAAATTTGCTTAACCAGCTTCCTCTATACAAGCAATTAAAATAATTCATATCTAATATTTGTAAAGTATTTATTGTTGAATTTGATTTGATATATTAATAGGTTTCAACTACAAAATTAAATAATATTTCTTTGTAATTCATTAATTTTTTAACTCTATTTGTGTGTGTTACTACCAGTCTATAATATTCCAAATTTTTTGTTAATATGTTGATTCATAAATCATTTCTAAAAAAAAGATTTTTCGTTTTATCTGATTTTACCAATGAATTTTGAATTACCAATGAATTACAAACAATTTTTAGAATACGCTTAATTGAGTAGATTTTTTTAATAACATTTTATGTGTTTTTTTTAGTTAAAGTAAATCATTAAAATTAATTAAGTTCTGAATAATTCAATAGCAAAATATTTTTAAACATTTAAAGTTAATTTGAAATGATTACTATGACTTCTGTTAAAATTATTCATTGTGATAAAAATGACAAAAAATAGTGATTTTAGCATAATATTGAGCTTTTCACATAAACTTACAAACAATTTTATTTGTTTTTATTTATTATTCTTTATATATATAAATAATCGTTTTTACTAATTAATAATAATCTCAAAAATTGGTGATACAAAAAAAACTAATTGTAAATTTTAAATCGGTGAAAAATGGGTTTAGAAAAGTATATTCTGGCTTCTGATGAAAATTCATTGTAGTCCAGTGTATTTATTCATAAGTAACAAAAATGTACTCATATATTATACATATAAATGAAAGAACTATAAATCATCTATATTTGTCCCAACTATTGCCTGTCCAAATTGTGTTGCGACCCTACTGATGTTACCGTTTTTTAAACTGGAATCAGTTTTGGAAAAATTCCTATTTAAATTAAAATCGCTCTTTTTTTGTTAAAAATTATCATAATATGCCCAATACGCATCTTACATTTATCAATGAAATATTTATAACCTGTATTTTATATTACTTGTATAGAAACAAATAATTAATTTATCTATCATAACATATACTCTATTGTACACTATTTATTTTATATGTATATACTTGCTAAATTGATAATTGTATACTATGAATCTTATCATAAAATAATAATCATTTAATGTTCAATTTACTACAATAAACTGAAAATCACTAAAAGCACTGACGACAACATCCCATGATGAGGGTAATTAAAAATAATAGAAAAAAGTCTCAATTCTTATCAGACATCAGAGAGAGAGAGAGAGAGAGAGAGAGCTTGCAAGCCAACGAACGAGCGTGCCAACGAGCGGCTTTCTTCACTTTTGAAGTTCTGAATTCAATAAGAATTCATAATTTTTTCATCCAGTTTATTTCTCTTAACTAGCCGCGACCCTGTTCTGTCGTTTGTGTTAAGCGATATTCATATATAATTTTTTTTACGTCGAGGTTTTATTTATTTATATAAAAAAAAGACATTATAGAATATTCGTGTGTGCGAATTAGTACAATTTCAGAAAGAGTTTTATACTTAACATTTTGACTATCGATGATCTTTACACAAGCCATCAAAAAAGAAGTTAGTAAAATTATGTTATCCCAATTATTTAGAGTTTATAAATCTGAGTAGATATCGACAAAGCAATAGATCATTCATTGTATCAACAATATAGAATGTTATATTAGACTGATTGGTTAAGGTCTTGTACATAGTCACGTTACATGGTATCCATGAATTGGTTTGCCGTTCCGCTGCCTTAAAGAAATTTTTTAATAACCTAACATGATTTCTACTATACAAGTTAAGAACTATCACAGATATTCGTAAACTGACTTGCCGTTTCGTTGCCATTGTGTATATTATTAGATGTCAACCAAACTATATTTTATTACACCTAAGCAAAGACGTATTGCATTTATTGTATTTAAATTTACTTGTCTTCGTAGTTCTAAACCGTCGGACCGCAGAACCCATACATCTTATAATCACAACCATTTATTAACAAGCTTATATTAGTTTCACTTGTATGTTGTGGGATGTTTGTAACTTTCCACGCGGCACGTGTCTACGGCCTTGAGACTAGACGGTCGTAACGCATTCACCCCACCCCGCTCACCAATCGTAGACAACAATATTTTCCAACACGTAGAGGCGCGCTTGTCATCAATTATATATATATATATATATAACAAATATTTATTGTGATTGACACGGCTGTTGCGTATACAGTTATATGGTACCTTGTTTGTGACCGCCCCATCAAGATGTGATTGACCGCTGATAAAATAATTAAAACGAGTTCCATGCGACTCTTTAAAACGCGTCATTAGTATTTCTATTAGCAATTAAAACGCTCGGTCTAATATCGTCAATATTGAATTGAATGATATATCATCAGTTCATTTTCTTTTTTTTTATTATTTTGTGCTATTTTGAAGCACCGCAAAGAGGTATACGCGCCTACCTTCGCATACGCCGAAAATTCGCCATCGCCGAGACGATAACTTTTCCACGCTGTGGAACGCTTTCTGCAACAAGTCTTGTAACTCGCAATCCAGCCATAACCAGGTCACTATCATTTATTGGATCTAAAGGTCGTCTTTATTTTGTTATTTTACGTTAATGCTAAATTATAAGTTCATGTAATCATGTATATATTTTAGTCTAGTTAAGTGTTACTAACATTAATTTTAATAACATCTTATGTTTTGTATAATATGCTTATATAGAAATATTAATAATATTCCATATTCTGTCTACTTCTTGTCGTGTTATCCTTTCAACTTTCAATTAAAGGAACACTCAAACAACGGCCTCGCGTCGTTTTACGTCGCAGTGCAAAGTCCAGCAAGTGCCGCACGGCCTACGACGTCCCGCCGTTAATGATACCGTAGTCTTCTTCTCGTTGTCAAAGTGACGTCAACAAACCGATCCTCACTCGTGCACTGTCGTCATCTACGCTGCTAACCTTTTGACGCCCGAGGATCACGCCGGACATCGCGTCGTCGACGCCAACGAATGTGCCGCGATATTGTGCGAAGATTATATATTCTTACCATCGCTGCTAATATTAATATATATATATATATACATATATATATTAATATTTATAAATACGTATATGATAATATTCATTTAAATATTCCTACAGCCGACGCCTCTGCCGCCGTATATGCCTCGTGTATAATGTTCCCCCCGCCACGCCCGCCCACAAAACACGGCTATACCTCATGCATGTTACGTTTACATACTTAAGTCCCTTTACATGTATACATGTACATTTTTCGTCACTACCTCCATGTTCCGTGAGTGGGTAATTTACGCGCCTGATGCTTTCCTTGAATGTGGTATCCGTTTCATAGAGTCCCTCCCCGGAATCGAACCCTGTTTTCCCGTTACCCGTTACAACCATGATATTGATAGTAACTACTATTATATCATGAAACTAAAAAGTAAAAAATAATTATAGTTAAAAAAAACTAAAAATACACGCTTTTAAAGCACATCGCACTAAAAAGTTTAAAATAATTTTTAAAATAAGCTTAAAACAATAATTAATCAAAAATACTAGTATTATTGTGATAAAAGCGTGGGTGCCTTGTACAATATTTTTTGTATATTGAACGCCCGACGCTTTTATAATAATAATTCTAATATTTTTCGTTCATTATTGTTTTAAAAATTATTTTGAATTTTTTAGTTCAACGTGCTTTAACAACGTGTTTTTTTAATTTTTTTAAACTTTATTTTTATTTTGTTATTTTAAATTATAACAAAAAAATAAAAAATAAAAACCCGCTAACTATTTTATTATTTTGTATGGTAACCATAGTTAAAAATTAAAGCGGGAGCTACATTTTAATTATCGAATTAATAACTCAATATCTCATTTTCATGAGATATTAATCCTCGAATAAAACTATAGCAACTTTTTTTATTCTAAAATCAAATTTGAATTAAATTTGTTACGTTGTGTAAAAATGTTATATTTATTTAAGATAAAATAAAAAATAATCTACTTATTAATAAACATTCTGATATTTCTCAAAATGAATTTTTTAATTAGAAAAAATTTTACAATTTACTATTATTAAAAATTAAATAATATAATTTTACCTCGTCGAATGGTGGGACAGTGAAAAGAAATGCGTTTGATAAACTACTCGCTAGATACATCATAATGAAAAAGAAGATATACATTATTGGTTTGATAAATTGACGTATTCGAATAAAACTTATAAGTAAAACTGTTGAAATGATAGATTTATAGAATTTTAATTATTTTATAACAATACTATGTTGTTTAAGTATTAAAAAAAAGTCATTAAAAAAAAAAAAAATTAAAAAAAGTATTTTTAAAATAGCAATAAAATCGTTTAATAATTTAATGTTGTCTTTAATATATAAAAATTCTTATTTAAAAATAAGTAAACATTTTATTTATTGAAAAAGGCGTAGTAAATAGTTTTTATATAATTATTTTAATGCCATCATTGTACTAATAATACTAGTAAGAACATGTTTTCTTTTGTTTCAAATGTCATTGAAAACTGAAATTTAAGTTAATAAATTAACAAGCTTTGACGTTTTGCAGTTGATTTATTAAAATTGCTACTACATTTTTCAATAATTAGTTATAATAAATTATCTCTTTAACTAAAAAAAATCGAAATAAATTATTTTTGGTTTTTATTAATTTACAAAACCACATGGTTTTTGCACATTTGTTCAACTATTCTACTTAACTAAAATATAGAAGTAAATAATTTATTTTGATTTATTTTATTGATCATTTTTTTATGTAACTTTCTGCTGTATTAATAGATATATGATTTGTGATGCAATACACAATATGAGAAAACAGTTGTCATTCCTAGTATTCGAAATATTTTTCGACACATTTACCTTAAATTAAAGCTTATATAATTTACAATATTAAAAAAAAATTACCTCTGGACTTAAAACAAACATCAAAGTCAAATTCAAAGAAATTTAATATACTGTTACACTTATAAATCAAAGATAATCAATCATGTTATATATAAGGAAATAGGAGTTTATGTCGCTTTTGGAATAATCTACTAATTTCTTAAAATTAAACACAATGTACAAATTTGCATGGAACCGTTTTTTATGATAGTGATTTTAGTCAATATTATCACACATATATCATCTATATTTGTCCCAAATATGCCATATTCTCACTGTGCCACGACAATAGGGTGAAAAAGGGAATTCTAAGTCCTCTCCGTTTCACACACCCACCCCACCACCGTGGTGATGGTGAAGAGGATCCTCGTCCTCCCCAAGACTGGCCACTACGTCGTCCGCCGACCCCGCTGCTTTCCCAACCTGTGCCGCCTTAGGTGATCCACCCCTCGACGCCTTCCGCAGCCTCACAACAATGAAGGGCTTGGCTGGGGCATCCAGCGGTGTATCCGCATTAACAAAAGTGCATCCGTTATCCAGAGTCTCCAAGTCNAACAAAAGTGCATCCGTTATCCAGAGTTTCCAAGTCTTCCGACGCCAATGACCTCCCGGCTGTTTCACCGGTGGGAGTGGCTTGGTCGCCACCACTCCCTGCAGTCGCAGTACCAACTCCGTGGTTGGCTGCAGGAGCTTGCCTCAACACTCCTGCATTTACTGTGTATTCGTTTGATAACGACACCTGGTGGGTACACCCCCCACCAACCACCGGTACTGGGGCATCCGAATCCCCTGATGCAGTAACCTTTTCCTCCATATTCGCCATTATTCATATAAAATAATTTTCTGAGGGGGCTGCCTTCATAGCCAGTCCCTCCGGGCAGTGAGTGGCTAACTAGACTGGTTGCGTTGCCATATATCTGTAAACTGCGCCCGTGCCGACGTTTCGTAGCCCCGTAGAGCCCGATCACGCCGACACTGTAGCGCAGCGAAACGGAGAGGGGAGTAAATCCTTTTTTTTTTTTTTTTCACGACAGGCCTACATGTGGACCGCCCCGGAAATACCATTAGGCATTACCTCAGGGTGGCCCACGCCGTCTCTAAAACTCACAACGTGGTGTGACCTCCCCCGTTAGCCGGATCCCAAAAGTCAGGATCCGTTGCCCGGGTTGCACCACATGGAGGTGGAGGCAGGACTTTGCGAAGGTGGCAAAAAAAAAAACTCACAAACACATAATACATAAACACGAATACCTAAGGCACCGGCCTAAACCAGCGCCTTAGGTCCTCCTGCACCGGGCGGCGCGGCTGCCGCTGCCTCAGGCGTTCAGCTTCCTCCTTCCTTTTCAGGACGGATTCGGCCAACGCCTGGACGAGCCTCCACGACTCCCGGCCTCCCAACATCAGGTTCACTAAGGACCCGACGCGGATCGTGGACCCCAGACGGGACTCCAGGAGGCGAAAAATGCCTCGGCGGTCCAAGGGACCCCTAAGGCGTCCTGTGCGCCGCCCACCAGTGGATGAGGTTCCTTCAAATGAACCTCAACCATTGTAGGGCGGCGCAGGATCTGGTCCGACAGGCGGTATACGAGATGCGCATCGACGTGTGCGTAATCTCGGAACCGTTTGTCGGACTGATCAAGGACGCCCCGGGGTGGTACTTGGACCGGTCCGGGAGAGCGGCGATCTATTCGCGGCCGGTCTATTGATCGCCCGATGGACAGCGCTCACTCCGCCCGATCGACTGGTCTCCGCGGGCGAGGTGGCGGAAGAGCTGGACAGTCGAAGTCGTTACGACTTTGCACTCCCCAGAAAGCGTCCACCACCTACTCGGGGACCTCCCGTTCACTGGTGGAACGAGGAGGTGTCTGCCCTGAGAAGCGACTGCATCAGGGCGAGGAGAGCCCTGACGCAGTCCAACAGGCGTTGACAGGCAGTACCCAATCCGGATAATCCGGATCCCAGGGAGTTGCTGAGGGAGGCCCGGAAACGGTTGAAGCTCGCCATCAGGCGTAGCAAGGCTCGTTGCTGGGCCGACCTCGTGAAGTCGGTGGATCACGACCCCTGAGGGAAACCCTATAGAGTCGTGATGCGCAAGCTGCGCGGCCCACCGACTTCGGGGCAACTGGAGGCGGAGACGTTGGAACAGACGGTCCACGCGCTGTTCCCGACGCATCCGCCTCTCCCACCCCTGGGAGACTGGCCGTCCGTCGGAGATGACGCGACCGTTGAGGATTTCACCCTAGAGGAGATATCCGCTGCGGTAGCGAGAGTTCGGGGAAGAAACACCGCGCCCGGTCCGGACAGCATACCGAACCGGGTGTGAGGTCTAGTCCACGACTTCGCACCGCAGTGGCNGGTCTCGTCCACGACCTCGCGCCGCAGTGGTTAGACACCGTTTTAAACGTGTGTCTCCAAAAGGGTGAAATCCCGCCCCGGTGGAAGAGGGCGAGGTTGGTGCTCTTGCGGAAAGGCGACAAGCCCGAGGGAGTCCCCTCGTCGTACCGGCCTCTTTGTATGCTGGACGACGTGGGGAAAATCTNTGGACGACGTGGGGAAGATCCTCGAGCGGCTGTTGGCCACCCGCATAGAGCACCACCTGACGACGGTCGGTGGGCTGGCGGACGGCCAGTTCGGGTTTAGGAAAGGGTGGTCGACGGACGACGCGGCCTCCCACATCCAGCATTTGCCGTCAGGGCCGAGAACGGACCGGGCTTCTGCGTTGCGGTGAGCCTGGACATCCGGAACGCTTTCAACTCCGTGCGATGGTCACACATCCTCGGAGCGCTGGAAGCGTTCCANCATCCTCGGAGCGTTGGAAGCGTTCCGGGTGCCTCCGTACCTCCGCCGAATGATCCGGTCGTATTTCAGCGACCGGGTCATCGAGTATGCGAGTGCCGCAGGGCCCAGAACCAAAACCGTAACGGGAGGCATCCCGCAAGGTTCGGTTCTCGGGCCCTTGCTGTGGAACATCGCGTACAACGCGGTGTTCCGCGTTCCGCTGCCACGGGGTACACGTGTAATCTGCTACGCGGACGACACGCTCGTGGTGGCGGAAGGCACTTCGGCGGAGGAGGCTGGTTTCCGGGCAAACGGTGCGCTGTGCGCCGTCACTGACTGGATACAGCAGGAGGGGACCGGCTTGTGCCTAGCGCTGGACAAAACCGAAGCGGTTTTGTTCACGCGAAAGTACAAGTACGTTCCTCCTAGGCTCACCGTACTGGGGACTGATGTCCCGCTGAAGCGGACCATGAGCTATCTGGGCCTGCTCATCGACGATAGGTTGATGTTCGGGCCGCACATTGAACGTGCGGCCCAGCGGGCTCAGAAGGTCATGGACCGCCTGGCGGGACTGATGCCGAATGTCGGGGAACCGAAGGAACATCGACGCCGACTGCTAGTTAGCGTCGTTCACTCGGTCCTCCTTTACGGGTCCCCGGTCGGGGCGAGTATACTGGAGTACTCGCCCAAGAACGTAGAAGCGTTGAACCGGGTCCTGAAGAGGGCCGCTCTCCGGACGGTGTGCGCATACCGCACCGTATCCGGAGTGGCGGCCAGGATCCTGGCTTCTCTGCCGCCCGCGGACTTGTTGGCCGTCGAACGCGCCAACGGATACGAGCAACGGTCAACCGCTTCGCGCGGAGAACCGGTTGCAGCTACGGAGCGTAACCGTGTCCAGTTGGCGCCAACGACTGGCCGACGAGGAATCCGCGGGAGCGTGGACTAGGTCCCTCATCGGACCCAGCCGGCTCGACAGGTGGATTGGCCGGACTCACGGGGAAATGAC